AGAGAGAGAGAGAGAGAGAGAGAGAGAGAGAGAGAGAGAGAGAGAGAGAACAAGAACGAACACCCTTACCTTTGCGGGCCTGCTGGATGTATCGCGCTAGCAGGGCGCCCAGGCGCGCTCGGGGCTCTCCGTCGGTTCTGAGCACGGCCCTCAGCTGCCTTCGGGGCGCTTCCTCCGCCCGCTGCACCTCGGAGTCGGGGGCCACTGGCTGCGTCAGGGCGCCTGCAGCCAGGACTGCGATCAGCACGCACAGGCACACGCCACTCTTCATGGCTGTGGGGAGCGGAGGCGAGGAGCGTGAACCAGACTGACCTCGGCGGGCTCCAGCCTAAAGTCCCGCACACCCAAGTCCACCGAGGCCGAATGGGAGGGCTGCAGCCGCCAGGCTGGCTCGTGCCCTAGAGCTAGCCAAGCGCAGTCCCCAGCTGCGCCCTGGCCACCGTGCGCCTTGAGACGCGTCTGTCTGGCTTTTGTGTTATCCACATCTAGGGCCCCGGGATCCCGCAGAGACAGGATTTTCTACTCCGTTCAGAAGCAGTGCCTACTGCTTTCCTGAAGTTAGAGGACGCCTTTGTAGATCATCTCTCTTCTAACCAGAAAAGCACAGTGTGTGTGTGAGAGAGGGGCGGGGGAGAATACCCCTGGAGAGAAATGTGGGGGATTAAAAGCTGTCGCTACAGAAATGAATAATGGGACGACGGTGGGAAGCACCGTTTAAAGTACGAGCGCAGAAATAGAAGCTGCATTTATAGAGGTCCCTCGGTGTGTTTATGGGAACGAACAAGAAGTCACCATGCAAAGCAAAACCCAGAAATCTGCGCCCAGTCCTGAGTTGTGGCCAAAGCCCTGCCACATTTGAGAACTGGGCCAATAGGTCCTGCATCACAGCGATGTATTTCTATCCCCAAAGCCTTAGTTTTTTTTTTCCCGTAGCATTTAGAAAACGGGCATGTCTTAAAACCACTTAGTATTTTCATATAAATAATTGCAAAGTGATCCGAACATCATGGGGACCCTAAGAAATGGCCATCCCAGCCTTGGCATGAAAAGCACACAGAGAAACAAGTCTCCACGCCGCAGTACCCACCCAGACGCATTTTAAGATCCAGCGCCGTTATTTCTGACTTCAGGAAATCTTCCCAGCTGTCAAAGGAGGAAGAAGGCACAGAAAACAGAAAGACTGTACGACAAGGCTGCAAAGATTCTTCACACGCAGGATTCCTGGATCGGCCAGCGGAGACACTGACTTACCTTTGATGGGGAATCAGCAGGCTTGGCGGTTTCCAGCAGAGCAGGTTGCAGTCCAGCCAAGTTCAGGGCAGGCGGGAGGGCGGCTGCCTCTTAAATAGCCCCGCCCGGCGCGCAACCAGTCATCTGTTTACCCAGTGCTGACGCAGTCCGGCAGGACACGTGCTCAGAAAGCGGCCACTGGAGCGACCACCGATTGAAGTGGCCCCAGAGAGAAGGGAAACAGCCCAGTAAAGGAGGATAGCCCCTCCCAGGCGGGGTACCTTGTATGGGATCTCCTCTTTATCTAAAGAGCTTCCTTCCCACCTGTCCAGCGCCTCCCCAGTCTCTTCAGGCAGGATGTCCCCTCATGGATGGGAAACAGTTTATCTGGAATGGGAAGGTGACCGTGAGCTTTGGGGGTGAAGTGGTCCTTCAAGGAAACTGAGGAGCCTTCACAGGCTTGGGTGTCAGCAAGTGTAATTCTGGTGTGTTTTCTGGGAACACCTTCGGACCTAAGTGGGCTCCCACGCGTGAGTGAGGGGAGTCGGGGCTCTCAGTTTCTCAGAATCCAATCTCAATTGGCCTCCTGAGTCTGTTTTTACACAATTATAAAATCTGGGTGTAGCTTCTGATTTGGTGCGTAAGAAACCACTGGGAAAAGGGCTGCGATTTCTTCCCAGAACTTCCCCACCTGCCCACACCTACAGCTACTCCTGGTCGCCAAGGGGCGCCAGAGAGTCTCAGGCACCCCCAAGCTCTGGCTGGCTGAGCCACGCTGGCTTCGCTTGCACCTTTCCAGGGAGTTTGATCGCCCTTTCCAGGCCCATCCTAGAGTCACCCGTGGCTCAGCTGGGTGATGAGGATCGTGGCTGGGATAAGGACTCTCATGGACCGGGAAGGAAGAGAGGCACCCGCTGCTGCAGAGTGCAATCCCCGGGACGCCCCCCTCCACGCCCCCCGCAGCCTCCACAGAGCACAACGATCATCAGCACCCGAGGTGCTGGAGTTAGCTGAGTCCCTCTATCCCATTTCACAGACCAGAACACGGACTGGGGACCTAGGAAGCCCCACACCAGCCCTCCTCTGCTAACCTGTAACCTGGGGTCACTGGCCAGGCATGCCCACCCCGCCCCCAACTCCTCCTTCTAGCATCAGTCTGGGGGAAAGGAGAAAGGCTTGGAAACACTTTCTATTCAGAAATTATACCCAGCCCTGGAGCCCTCCGGCTGCGGAGACCGTGGAAACGCAGGCAGGGGAGTTAGGTTCCTGGTGGTGGCTCTAGTGGTCTCTGCAACCCAGAAGAAACGTGTTTTAAACAGCGACAGATTAACCGCTGTGGGGTGATTCCTCACAAGGCAGCCCAGGTTGGGGAAATCAGCTCTGTCGGTGAAGGAACCAAGCACATCAAGAAACGTGGATTTGACCTAAAGCAGCATTGGGAAGGGCTGCTTACTCCAGTCTGATTCTGCTTGTCTCCTTGTCCTGTGGGCTGAGACAAGGACATCTAGTTGACTCCCCCACTCCACCCCTTTCCTCACGATTTAGGAACCATGCTCAGTCTCGGGGACACAGTGTGATGAAGACTGACAAAATAAATACCTTAGTAAATAAACACCTCTGGGGGGTAGGAGGTGGGGGCTGGGGGGG